GTTTGAAAATTCAAGTTACTCCTGTAGTCTTGATTTTTTAGGGAAGGTCTTTGAGCCTTGAATTTAAGGCTGAGGTATTCTATTATAAGGGTATTCATACATTCTAGTTTTCTTGGAGCATTCATAGTTTATTCCTGTTGTCCTGGGAGGTGTCCTGTCCAGTTAGTGCCCTGCACTCACCCCCAAAAGTGTCCTGGTTTGGATGATGCATTTTATGGTCTGTAATCTCCAGTGGAAAATAAGTTGCCAGCTGGGGGCAAATTACCTTTGAAGCCAAAATCAGTCAAAGGGAGAAACAAAGTGGGAGAAACCCATTTATTGCTTACAAGCAGTCATCCACTGCTGCTCACACGTGTTTCTCATGACCCAGCTGTAAAAAGGAACACACCAAACCTCTCTGGTCCAGGTATACCCTTGCTCCCCCAACCCCTGTAATCACCTATCGATATGGAAATGGACTACTTCTCTCACCCCTTGGATACACCTATTGATATGGAGATGCACAAAGCCAGGTGAGAGATTCTGGAAATATTGCAGTTTTACCCACAACCCACCCCTACATAAATCTCACCTCATAATCTACTCACTCCCCATCTTCCACAATGGCTCCAGTGCAAGAAAACTGGAGCACTATAACCAGACTAATAACATACAATAACAACAGGAATAAAATCATGATCCTCAAGCCAGAGGATTTAGCTAGGTTCAAAGGCCTATGCAGGTTAAGACCATAGCTCATCCATTCAACAGGTGCCAGTAGCTGAACAGGTAGGGATTTCAGAGCAATCATCACACAGCAGCTGCACCCAGGTTGTGGGTCCAGGCCACAAGGACTGTAGAAGAAAATTACCTTAAGGGCAATAAGATACTTGTTTTAATGACACCAGCATAGGCATATCTTGTCCATCAGGTTGAATACATGCAAGAGAGTGGTCCTGTGATAGGAGAGTGGCAGGAATGGGATCTCTTCCTGGTCTAGAATACCAGATTTTCAACCCCTCTCGCTGTGGGAGTTAAATAAGGGTCAATATATAGGGCGATGGGAGGTACATGCACTGGCCATAAAATAAACTTCCCCATAAGATTCTCTTACTGCTGATATGAGCAGAGGCCCAAAATAATCTATCTGCCACTGGCAAGAGGTATCGGCCCCCTTACTATTGTCCCATGTTGTTATGGGACTCCGTGTAAGTAACTTTTTGAGCACACAAGACACTTCTGGGTTCTGCTGACTTCTTCAAAGGTTAACGGCAAACCCCACTGATGGGCTAGAGCCCATATTATCTTTTGCTGCACATGTAAACAACGCTGATGTAACCATTGGGCTACATCAGAGGCAGGCTTTCCTCCTAGCACCTGGGCCAGCATGTCTGCTTCATCATTCCCTGGGGATGCCAAAGGCAAATGGCCAGTCACCTGATATATGGTAACTGTCTTAGTCTGACCAGAGGCCCATAGGTCTTGCCACAGCTCTTGGCCCCAGAGGGGCAGTGACCAACCTTCCAGTTGGCCTGGTACTGTGTCAGTAAACACAGGGTCAAGCCCTGATTGCCCAACTGTCAGTGCAGACAATCCTAGCAGAGGGCTCCTGAGTGATCGTGAGCTGTACTGCTCACAAGTCATCCCCTTGGCTGCTCTTCCCCTCTCCATCCTCCATCCATATTGTCTCAGTCTTAGGATGGAAAACCACAGCCCTCCACATCAGGGCAGCCAATAACTAGAGCCATCTGTGTACCCAGCATCTTCAGGTATGGGACCTTTTCCCTCCTGATAAGGACTCAGCTACCAATGGCTCAAAAGCAAGTTCTTCCTGCTTCCACTGGTATATGTCACTGGCCCCAATAAGCATTGGAGTTCTCCACTTTAGGGGCTATTGGAAAGGGCATTACAGTGCTATAAGTATGTACCCCATTTGACCAGTGAAGGTGCCTGTGCCATTCCACTCCATGGTCTTTGGGTCTAGCCTCGCACCCGCCCCATGATGGGCTAGATGGTTATTACCTTGGTCGGAGCTGTTCCAGTGATGGGCTCTGTAGCCAGCAAGGTGTGGTACACAGCAGCCAGTTGCTTCTCTATCAAGGTGTCCCGGACCTCTGCTCCTTTCCACAGTTGTGACCAGAATCCAATAGGTTTGTGTGCCCATTTAAGCCGCTGCCAAAGACCCCATCCATAACCATCTTCGGTTATATAAACATGTAGCTCCCAGGGCCTTGATGAGTCCATTACACACAAGGCCTGTATGGCCTTGACTGCTCACTTAGCAGCAGTAAAAGCAGCTGCACATGTTTCATCTCAGTCCCACCTGATGACCTTTTGCACCAACCAGTATAAGGGCTTCAGAATTTGTGCCAAGTGTGGGATAAACACTCTCCAGTAGCCCAAAAGACTCAAAAACTCTTGTAATACTGCTACAGTGTTAGGGGGTAGGAAAAGCCTGGTCCTTGTCTATGCCTGATTTTGGGATAACTTTAGTTTTACCTGACAAGACAACCCCCAAGGACTTTACTGACAAACCAGGTCCCTGAACCTTGAGGCTCTTCACAGTCCATCCTTTCTCTAGGTGTTGCAGCAGTCTAGGAACTGCCCCTTCTAAATCTGCAAGAGAATCAGACGTGAGCATAATATCATCAGTGTAGTGATACAGCTGCACCATTTGTGGATTCTTCCATGTGGCCAAATCCTGGGCTACAAGTCCATGACATATGGTGGGACTGTGGAGGCATCTCTTTGGAAGGACTGAATGTCCCCTGCTGGCTGTAGGCACTGCTCTTTATTCCCCCTCCCCCATGGCCTCCTGCAGTGTAGATTCTCCTGCTGCTCCTCCCTCGCTGCTAACATATACTCTAGGAGCACTACCCATCTTCTCAATAACTGTCTCTCTTTTTCAACGGCATCCCATAGGTCATCACCCAGCTCTCTTCCAGGGAACACCAAAGTGTGTCTCTTTCCTGCCGAAGTGTGTCTCTCTCCTTGATAACCCTTTCTACTATCTCAAGAAACAAACATCCCACAATCCTGGCTGCTACATGGCCACTGAGGACCTATAAGCAGTCTTCTATCTCATGGAGGGCTAATTCCACAGCTCTGGTGTCTCCACCCTTCCCCAATCCTGAGGAAGGGCCCGCCCATCTAGGAGGTGCTTTACCCTAGACCAGTTCCCACTAAGTCTCCCCAATTGGAAGCCCCACAGATAGGGGGCTCCCAGGTGACACCACACCCTCCACCGCTGCAGTCACTGGGGCCTCCCTACCATCCACAGGGGTGTTCCCAGGTATCTCCCCACCATCTCTAGGGGCAGACCTCTGTCACACCCATGAAGACAGATTTCAGGTTTAGAGGTTTTGCTGAGTACTGCCAGGTGTAACTCCGCGGGTGGAAGTCAGTTCTCAGTCCAAGGCAAATTACCTTTGAAACCAAAATCAGTCAAAGGGAAAAATAAAGTGGGAGAAACCACTTCTGCTTGCCTGTGTTTCTTGCTATCTGGCTGTAAAAAGCGACCCAGCCTCTCTGGTACAGAGGTACTCTCACTCCCCCCACCCTTGTAATTGCTTACTGATATGGAGAGGGACTTCTTCTCCCCACTCCTTAGAAACATCTATTGATATGGAGATTCACCAAGGCCAGGCAAGAGATTCTGGAAATACTGCATTTTTACCTGCATGGTCACTCAAGCATTAACCATCTTAAGGGAGCATTTATACTTAGAAACATTTGGATGTCAGCTTCCAGGTGCTGAATCTGCAATTTATAAATTGAATGCACCTAAAAAATGCTAAAAATGGTAAATTATATGTTATGTATTTTTTTACTAAAAAAAAAAATTGGAAGCATAGGATATAGGTTCTTTTATCTACATTATCTGCTAGATTTGAAACCTTCTGATCTCATCCCTTATTGCACTTCTGTTGCTCTATCTGTTCCAGTCTCACTGGCCTGATTCTTCTTCCAACATCCTGGATATGCCCCAGCACAGGACTTTGGCAAAACTGTTTTCTCTGTCTGGAATGCTCTCCCTTTTGATATTAGCATGACTAAATGCTTTTGTTTCTTCTAAACCATTTGTCAGTGAGAAACACCCTTGCCGCCTTACTTAGAATTCATCTCCACCCCTCACCATTCATCACAACCACCCATACATAGCCCAGATCTCCTTCTGCTTCACTATTTTTTCCCACAGGATTTACCCCTTCCCACATGATATATTTTTTTCCTACTAATTTTATTTATTGTTTGTTTCACAAACACATGAACTCTGCATAGACAAGAATCTTACTTTTTTTTATTAGCAAGTCCAGTGCCCAAAAATACCTAGAATAGTGCCTGTCTTTTAGTAGATTAAAAAATATATGTTGAATAACATAATGTAATCAATTTGTTTACAAATTAAACTGATCTCTCAGTGTTGTTGTAAGGCATTGATATTCCTTGGTTTTATATAGGTTTGGACTCCCATGGCCTTCTTTATTCTTTAAAAACCACCCCCAAGTCCCCAACTATTTTGAAGAAGAAGATAACAAAATACTGGAATATGTGCTTAAGTGTTTAACTTACTACAACAGAACAAATAACCACATCCTTACATACATATGAAAAGACAGAGAAGTCTAGAAAGTACGACCTTGACCATTATGGGTTGGTTCTTTCTGACAGAGCTATCTGTGATTCACGTGCCTTTTCAGGAATACCCTCTAACTTTGAAACCTAGATATGCAAATATGTGGTTTGATTCCAGTCCATACAAAACAAACAAAAAAAAGTTACAAAAATTCTACAGTTAAGGTGGACTAATAGATAGAAAATATCTGAATCAGACTAATTTTTTTGAATATTATGCTGCTGCATATTCAATGTTTATTCATACAGATAAAAGCATAAAAAACTGAATGAAATTAACACGGATACTTTAGTGCAGTGTTCCAGTTATTTTTCTCATTTTTCTAAACTTTTTCTTCTAATGAATCTTTAATCTATGCTATAACTATGTTTATTTTCACTTACAGCAAAGTTTTGTGGTGACCCTGGTATACCTGCCCAAGGAAAAAGAGAAGGCAAAAGCTTCATATACCACTCAGAGGTTTCATACAGCTGCAGTTCCCCTTTCATATTAGTGGGATCAAGCACCAGACTATGTCAGGCAGATGGCACTTGGAGTGGTTCATCACCTCACTGCATAGGTAACATTGATTAAAAGTTGATTATAATTCTGGAATTCCTGGGGAGTGGTGACATCATGGTTTTCTTTTTTTTTTATCTTATAAACTATAGCAGCTAAATAATTATGATTGTAAATTTTAAAGGAATGTTATGTTTTTAATCTTGATTTTAGAACCCACTCGTACCTCATGTGAAAACCCAGGAGTACCACGGCATGGATCTCAGAACAATACATTTGGATTCCAAGTGAGAACTTTGAATAAATACATCTATTTAGTATAAAACTAGATCAGAAAGCTCCTTTGGTTCACGTGCATATAATCCTGCTGGCTCCAACAGAAAAATAAGCACACATATAGCCATATTCATAAACATTTCTAAAAGGTAACAGGCAATAAGAGTGGGAGCAAATCAGGAAAAGAAAAATATGCTTCAAGAAAATAGCCTCACTGACCATGAGAATAAAAGAAAAGAAAAGAAAAGTGGAGCTATCTGAGCACAGAAAAATCCATCAACAGTAGTTAGTATGTAAGAGAGGGTGAGAGCAAGGAAGTAAATAAGTTGACCCTACAGAGGGGTGGGGGGGACCATGAGGAAAAGTAAGTATGAAAGAGATTAAAGGATAAACTTCTGAGACAAAGATTCAGCAAATACATGAAAATGCACTTATTCAATAAGGCAATAAGGCTAAAATGGTTTGTCCTATGTATAAAATACTGAAATATTTTTAAACACTGTCATTGATATGGGACATTTCTGAAAAAATATTTTAACCATAACCTATTGTTACAGAAAACATAGTTGGATTGCTCTATTGAAATTCTTTAGCATGCCCAATCCTGTGTGGCTGACTTTATTTTCTCTTTTTCCAATTTAGATTTTATGTAGAGATTCAGCAAGGTTTTCATTTCAGGGTCCTAAAGGGAGCGGAGGTGCTCACTGAGTCCAAAAGGAAATGCCAGCTCACACCATTACCCAGTTGCCTTGTGTTGCAGGGTTTTCTAAGTTGTGTGTTTTGGGTGAAATTCAGTGTGAACCTCAAGAACATCAATTTTTAAAGGGAATACTCATCAAAGGTGCCATATTTTTGTTACTAAAAATAGTTTCCATTTAGCGACAGTTCAGGCACAGTATGAACATTGATTTGACAGCATCTCCAATTCTTCTGGTTTGCCTGAGGCCTATCTAGATGATACAAAAGTGTGAAAAAGTGTCTCAGTATCTATTTTGTTGGTTTTTTAGAAAAATTTAGATTCATATCTCTATAAAAGCTTTTAGTAATTGATCTAAATCTAAGGAATGGACCACTAACTAAACATCATTAGTCCTCATCACACAGGTGAAGAAACCGAAATAGAACGTGACTGGTTTGATCACAGAGCAAATCAGGGACAATATCCTGACAGAATACAGAATTTTGTTGGTAATATCTGTGCACTAAATCAGGTGATTTTCTGAAGAGTATTAGTCCTGTCTAGTAAATACCCTTTGTGATCATGGAAATGGAAATAAGCAAGAATGAGTTTAGAATAATCATCCAATTAAATGAATAGAATCATTAACTCTACATTTTAAGAATTCTGTTATAATCTTTGAAAAACGTTATCACAAAGTTAACCTAAACCTTAATTCAGGTTATTTGGCTAATTAACGTATATTAGATCATAATATTCTTTATAGATAATTAAGAATAGATTTCAAATATGGTAAGAGCTAATAATTTATAATGATATTAATCTCTATTAAAATTACAAATGATATACTGAGTACCCAGTATGTTAAATTATGAACATCAACTTTCTTACATGCATATGGTAGGTATGTGTGTATATATGTATATGTGTACTATTTATATTTACTAAATCTGTATAAAGTCTACAGAATGAAAGTTTATATAACTCACTAATGCCAATTTATTAGAGGATTCCAAATGGAATCCTGGCAAAACATCCTTACTCTTTGAGAAAATTCTTTCTGCTAGTAACAGATATTATTTTGAGTAGCTTAAGCCTAAAGGCATTACTAGCCATGTACAGGTATGTTGGAAACCCTAAGAGAAAAGATTTAGGTGACCCATCGAGTCCTAATATAGGAACTAGACAACAGCACTCATTTTTTCCACTACTCTGTTTACCTACTCCATTTTTCTCTCTGCAGATTGACCATATGACTAAAGGTGCATTATTTCTATTTACATCTCGGTCACATACCAAAACTGAATAATTATGTCAGTCTCAGTTCTAAATTTCTAGACAGAGAATCAGAATGTCTCAACTTTTATATCCACCCCTGGTTTGATCAGGTGGTGTGTAGTAACTTAAGTAAAATCACAACAGTTAAGACACCTACTTCTGGGAAGGACAAAGAGAGAGTGAGAAGTTATGAATTGTAGAGGCACTCAAATTATTTTCTTAATTTTTTTAATGTATACACATTTGTTCACTCTCTTTTTCTACATAGACTTATATAGAAGATTCTTGTATATATATATATATATGTATATAAATTAACATGTAAAATATATCACCTGTTGCTAGAGATGGTGAAAACCCTAGCATTAAAAAGTATTCAATTTAAATTCTCTTATTTCCAAAATATTGTAAGTAGGAACTCTCTTTGGCTAAAAGCAGATTGGTAGTGAAGGGAGTAGCTGTCAGAATGATTGATACAACATCTAGATTAGTTATGGAACAAATGCCAAACATGCATATTTCCAAGTTAGGAACTATGCAGGATAATTCAGTTAAATAAATATGTAATGTTTGAAATTAGGCACAAATAAATACAGTGATGAAAATTCTAGCACTTTAAGAACTTCTTGGAAATGTAGATTCTTGGGTCTCTCCCAGATCTACCCAGTTAGAAACTCTTAAGGAGGCTCAACTGTCTGTGTTCTGAAAAGTCCCCCTGGTGATTATAGTATCTGCTGAAATTTGAAAACCACAGCCTGTAGAAAAGATACTGAGCCACGATGTATAAGTATGAAAGAGAGAAAAGACAGCTTGAGAGATTTAGGAGTTAAAATTTCCAATATTTGGCAGTAGATTAAATGAGGAGAGATTTATAGGTAAAAATGCAGCACCATTAACTGAGAACCAGCCTAAAGTAAGATTGCCACATTGATAGAGGTGATAGGCTTTGTACAACTGGTTTGACTGAACAGAATTGCAACATCTCCATGCTTAGTCACATAATCTAGACCATATAAGGAAGTCATATTGCACATAGCAAAGCTTCATAGAGCATATGAATGACATGCTCTGGAATACAAGGTGAAGGACTCCGTTTCTATGGAATACAGCATGAACAGTGCTCTCTGGAATGGAGCAATGTAGTAGCCCTGGAAAAAAGTGGGGCATCCAGAGGGCAAGAAATCTCCAAAAGGCTAAGGTGAAGCTTTCATGGAAGACCCAGTGTGAGATTTCTGGAAGGATAAAGGTTGCTGTCAGAGAATGACTCATAGAACTGAATGTTGCTGGTAGAGTGTGGCTCTGGATGAGCATGAAGATCCAAATGGAATCTTGTACCAAGGCTTACCTCATGTTACTTTAGCAAATGGGCAAGGAAGGAAACAGGTTCTGTGTGATAAGCCCTAAGACTATGATTGATTATTCTCAGACTCCAATTGCTGGAGAAAGCTGAACTGGCAGACCCTAAATATCTATCCCTGTCTTGTCTTCACCTCTGATGACTGAATAAATCCTGATGATTTTTCCTTGTAGTATATTTTGGGTAAATGACTTCCCCACATCTACATCCAGTTTTATCCATGAGAATCTGAAATGGTACTGCCAGCTCATAATTATAACTAATGTTTGTCATTCTTTTTAATAGTTTCTCCTTACTATGACTAGTTTAATTTTCCAAAGATAGTATTTATTTTTTGTATATAAATTTTACTTGCTCTGAAAGCTTTAGCAACTTTGCTTTTATTTTTAAAAAAGATTTCAAATGTCAGAGCCTGTCATTTGAGACCCTTCAGAAACTGATTCTTGCTTATGTCCCTGATATAAAAATTATGACTAGAATTTATTAAAACTTAAGTGCCATCCTTGGGTAGAGTGGATTATATATCCAATTTAATTTAATCCTTAAAAAAAATCTCAAGACAAATAACATGTCATTTTAGTTATAAATGGGAAATTAAGTCTTAGAAAGGAGATATACCTTATTCAACTAAGATCAGATCCAAAGTTAAAGCCAAGTACAAATTGTTTTCTTTTTTACTATACATTGTTGCTTCCCACTTTACCCCCAACATAATCAAGTTACTGTGTGAACTATCCATTCCAGGAAATCAAATGTGCTTTCATTTTTTTCCTGAACTATATGACATATAATTTAACCTCTGTGCATTTTCTCATCCTGTTACCTTCTCTAATTTTACATCACTTGACCTCATCAAAATCGCTTGGATGGTTTGTTAAAACACAGATTGTTACTCCTCATCCTAAGAGCTTCTTATTCCATGTGTCTGTGGCCATGTCCCAGAATTTGCATTTCTAACAAATTTGTAGGAGCTGCTGAGGTTGTTGGTCTGGGGGACCACACTTTGAGAACCAATGTTCTATGTATTTGCATAAATTCCACATCTTTTAAAGCTTAGTGCAAATGGCATGTCTTCTGTTGTATATTTCTGTTCCTCCACAACCTTCAGTAAAAACCTTTGCATCTATTCTCATATTGCATTTAATATCTTCCATATTTCTTTGCCCCTCATGTACAACATAAGTTATCTTTATTTCCATATCTATCTTTAACCATTTTCACTTATCTTTATTTAACTATCTTGTGTTCATATGTAGCTTATTGGTCTTTGGTATTTTATATATTTTCTTCATATTACCATGGTAAAAAATTTGGCACCTACATATACTCTGAGCACTCAAACATTTGGTGATGATATATACACAAAGAGATCTAGGTTTTTTCTTGAGTCTTGATTTTTTTCCCAAATTTTAAGTCATATTTCAATTTCTTTTCTTTCCAACTGCAACCATGCAGAATTTCTATTGAAAGCATTTTCTGATCCAAGGATTTTTCTATTTGTTACCATACTTGAAGTTGCATTGGTACATGTGTTTTTCTCTGTGATCTGCTGTAGGTTGGTAGTGTTATACAGTTCCATTGCAAAAAAGGACACCTTCTCCAAGGGTCTACAACACGCACTTGCCTTCCTGACCTCACATGGAATGGCATTCAGCCTGAGTGTATACGTAAGTATTGTGGCTAAGGTATTATACTTATCATGGGTAAGAATTTATATACACTTTTTTCTTCCAAGTGTGAAAATAAATGAAAAAGTAAATACAAAAGATGTATCACATTGGGTGTTTTAGATTATGATAAAACATAATTGATGTATATAATTTTATTACTATATCAAAACCCCATGCCCATTAGGGAACATTCTTTCTACAGAAGCCAGAAGGCTTGGGACACAGTTTTGTTTTTTTCGCCAACCCCTTGTAATTGTGGTGTTCAGTCATCTGGTAATTTTAGATAATGATTAGCTTCTAAAGTCATAGATCTGCCCCTGTGAAACAGAAGTACTCTGAAATACAGAACACAGTGACTCTTAATATTTTTTCAGTTGTGTAACTGAGAATCTGAGGAATGCTAGAAACATCCATGAAAGGAAATAGGAATGAACACCTTGATCAAAAGTTTCAATACTATTTCAGGATTTCCTGATGTTTCTAAATGTGCCCTAACCCTAAGTTGAGACCACTTGTTGTACAGATTAAATAAGAACAGAGCCAGGTCATTAAGCAGTCTTGCTGACTTATAGTTAAAATAAATTTCAGCTGGTGAGTTATTCATCTCTTCTTTCTCTTGTCCCTTTCTCCTTCCACGTCTTGTAAAATTGTGAGCCTCTTGGGAGAATAAATAAAGAGTAACAGGAGTGAAATACCCATCAGAATGGTACCTAACTTTTAGGATTTGCTGAAGTCCAAATAAGTCCTATGAATTGTCTCTAGCCCTGTCCAGAACCACCCAAATGATCGTGGGCATCCTCATGGACCTGCATATACAGAAAAGCAGGAGAACATTCCACTAAGTCATGTCACATTCTGGTTGGCTTTTATATTTAAATATGAGAAAATTCCTTAAAAATGAATTCTTCAGATTATTACTTTAGAATAGTTGTGTGGGATGTAACTAGGTAATTTCATAGTAAACCAGGGTTCTTTGATGACCTGTATTTGGGATATGATGATTTAAATAAAGGTAAACAGGTTCTATTACTGAAAAGCATCTCAGCTTCTAACATGTGCATAATGTTGGGGGTAAGTTATAGCAGAGACAATTTGTATTTCTCTTTAGCAATATTTCCCCATAAGGATGACATTTCATTAACGGGGTTATATTAAATATAAGTCATATAACACAATATTTTTTACATAGTGTTCAAAAAATGTTAGCTATTATTTATAGCTTTGTGAATCTCCAATGGGAAACAAATGGAATTTCTTCCAGACAAATTTGTCTACAGAACACTTTTTACAGAGAAAACCTTTTAAGGGTCTATACCCATGGAAAAATGATCAGAAATGCTTTCTGGTTTAGGGAGAAAATTCCTTATAACATCTATCTCTGATTGAGAAAGGAATAGTATTTATAAGTTACAAAACAATTGAACTAGGGGAGGTCCAAGAAATGGCATAAATAGAATAGAACCAAAATATAATAGAATCAAACTAGAAAATTAGCAAGGAAGGAAACATGTGGAAAAGGAGACAAGAAGTTCCATGAATGAATACTACTAGCTTATGAAGACAAAATATGGCCAGAAAATTCCATATATAAAAAATCACTCAGTTTTACTTCCTACATTAGGAAGTATTGATATAAGAGCAGCAAAATGAGCTGTGGTTATATTTAACTTTAGAAAACATGTTTTCAATGAAAAATAAGTATGATAAATAAAAAATATAATACTTGATAAACTCATATAGAAAATCTGAGTTTGGCAAACTTTAAAATGTATCTTACTGCGGGACTTCTTAGATCCTTTAAAATGCGAATTTTCATTGTAACTCTCTAGAAGAGTGATATAATATGATTTATGAGCTTACTTATCCATGGTAAGTCTTTTTTTCCCTCTCAGTTTACTTGTTAACATCTGCCAGTGTTCCACAGATGATTGTTTAGGAAATGCTGCTCTATGAACTCATATTTGTATTGATACATTTTCCTTGACTTATTGGAATAACTATGCAAAGGTGTATTTACATAATAGCTTTAAATACCTCTAAAATACTGTGACTCCCATCTCAAAAGTTTCATAACATGACTAGAAAATATTAACATTTTTCCCTTTTCTTAATATAGCCCACAGCTGTAAACAACCAGAAACACCTGTTCATGCAGATGTAGTAGGAATGGACCTTCCATTCCATGGGTATACACTGATTTATACCTGCCAGCCTGGCTTCTTCTTAGCAGGTGGAACAGAACATAGAGTGTGTAGATCTGATAACACTTGGACTGGAAAAGTTCCTGTTTGTGAAGGTAAGTTTTCTTTATAGAAAGTTTTTTTAACAGAAGATACTGTACTAGTCTGGTTTTCCTCAGACACAAGAGACAAAAACTCAACTCAAATTAGTTTAGGAACAAGGGATAATTTGGCCAACTCCAAGGGTAGGAGTGATGTAGATGCTTCTGAAACCTGGGGCATAGAAATATTATCAGGATCTTTTTATAGATTATTTTCCATGCTCTATTTTGTCTTCTTGCTTTTATTCTTTCTTCTAGTTCTCTGTTCATGGTAGATGTATTAGTTTTGTAGGGCTGCTACAACAAATTCCCACAAGATGGATAATTTAAAAGAACAGAAATTTATTCTCTCACAGTTCTGGAGACCACCATCCAAAATCAAACTGTTGAACTAGGGGAGGTCCAAGAAGTGGCATAAATAGAATAGAACCAGGTTCTATTCTGGCAGGACCAGGTTCCGTCTGAAGTTCTTAGGGAAGAATTATTCCTTAGCTGTTCCTAGTTTCTGGTAGCTTCTGGCTGTGCTTGGCATTCCATGGCTCAGGCCTTCTTTCCTATGTATCTCTATATGTCTTCTCCTCTTCTTATAAAGATAATAGTCATTGGATTTAGGATTCTTTTAGGATCATTTCACCTCAAGATTCCCAACTAATTACATCTTCAGAGACCAGTATTTCCAAATGAGGTCATATTTTGAGACCGTTGGTGAACATGAATTTTGGAGTTACACTATTCAACCCACTTTAGTTGGAAAAATTGCTGCCTGCAGTGCTGGGTTCATACCCTTTCAGCAGAGCATCCCTGGTAGAAAGAGTCTTTTCCTAAAGACTGGTCAGGAAAACACTATGCAAGAGTCTGAATGCCAGTTTCTTCAAATCCATTACTTAGACAGAGTGATACAGTATTTTGACAAGCTCTTAATGCAGTGTCCACTTCTTGCTTCTTAACCAGGAAAATCCCCATCTGGCCAAGATATAGTGAGTTTGCCAGATAGAAAATGGTTATGATTCCAGAACAAGGAGCAAAGGAAATTTTCCTGGGACTCTTGTTAAGGTCATCAGTAAATTCCTCTTCTTTTTATTCTTTATTCATTTCAGACCCTTTAATTATTTTTCCCTTGCAGCATCTACAAATGTTAATTTCTCCCTCATGAAATATTCTCACTCTCTTCTCTTAGCTAGAACACTACTCAGTTTTGTTTTGTTTTTTTAATATTTCATGAAGATGAATGATTAAAGGTCCCTTTGAATCCAGCAGAATTTCAATAACTTTTTTTTATCTGTCTACTTTTCTGCTCATCATCACTCTTACAGTAGTCTAACTCAGCATTATCTCAATTGGGATTTCTTCAAAACCTCTGAACTTCTCCTCCTATATCAGTACCATTCCTTTCCAAATTTTTCTCCATCTTGCAAAGATGTTCTCCCAAGTCACTTCCCCTTAGAACCTTTAAAAGATGCTACATTGTTCTTAGGAAAAAGATCTGAGTCTTTACATGGTCTACAAAAACTGCATATCGTAGCTCCTGTAACTTTGCAAGTGTCTCCAGTACCCCATGTGATTTCCTTACTTTGAGCTACATTTGGTTTGACCTAAAACTTTAGAATTAAATATTGACCTTTGAGTCTACCCAATTTCTTGTGACACCATGGGCTATCTTCATAAATTTTTATTCTTAAACATAAACCCTACTTAAATTATTTCTGCCTTCAGTAAGAAAATACCCTTACCCTTCAACTTCCCTGTTGCAATCAACTATTTCCATGTTGGTTAATGCCTCTAAAATAAGAAATAGTATCCCAAAATTATAAGGTGGCACTAAACTTCCCCTTGTCCCACTAGATTATAATGGGGGTAATTACTAAAGTTGCAAACTGTATGTCAGAAGTGTGAAGTGGGGACTGAGATCAACAGGGCATTTGGAGAAAACTGTATATGGCACAATAAAATTGACAATGCCTCATTATGTCTGTGTGTGTATTATTAATTATATTGTTTTGCAAACATTTTTCTTTCTTTTCACAGCTGGTTCCAAAATATTGGTGAAAGACCCTAGACCTGCACTAGGAACACCCAGCCCAAAGTTAAGTGGTTAGTAATTTAAGTTGTTTTCCTAGAAATCATGATTTCTGAAAATGATCTATTTTCTTGACAAAGTGACTTTTCATTTAGGAAAAAAAATTTGTTATGGGAAAACTACGCATTTGACTATTTAGAATTTAGAATTTGAAAATTTGTATTACAGAATGTGGAATTTCAAGCAATGTAATACTGTGACATTTTAATATTCCAAAAATATTGCTTATAGGTCTCTCTATAAAATTTCCCTCCAAGAATATCTGCAAATGACTATAAAATAATGGTGGTGTTTTATTTTAAACAAAAAGTGATATGTTACATATAATCTGTAAATACAGATATTTTAAAAAGGAACCATATACTTGGTGTGAAAGTAAAATTTCAGTGACTTCTAGAACTTGTTCAGTTTATTTTCAATTATTTGATTTCAAAACAAATTTAAAATTTAGGTATTAAAATATGGGCTTTTATGTCCTACAACCTTAATGTGATTACTATGTTATACATTCCCTATTATATGACTTTGGAAAAATTATTTCATGTATCTGAGCCTCCATTTCTTTATACTAAAGGAATAATGAATAGATTATTATAAAAGAGCTTCATGAAACTGAAATGTGAAGTGCTTAACCCATAGTAAGGCCTCAATATATGAGCTATTACTTTAAGTATTAATCAGTATTTGATTTACATGATATAAATGAAAAGCTACAAATAAAATTGAAGGCTTAACATCTAATCTGTACCTTGGAGACAGATATGGTCCAGTTATATTAGGCCAGGAACAATGTTAGAATATAATTCTAGTTGTGTTTAGACGTTTTCAACGTACTTGCTATAAAGCTGGAGTGCCCATTTAAAAAAATCACTCTAAAACACTAATTTATTTAGCAATTAGTAAAAACAGACTGAATGCCTCTAAGTAAATCAAATATGTCAGCATAGGAGAGAAGTTGAGCAATGGAGTCAGAAAGCCGCAGTGGTCAGGCAGTGTCCAGAATTTTCCAGAGGAGGTGCTTTATCTGGGAGCAGATAGGTGCTCTGAATAATAGCTCCAATATATCAAATGTAAACCTGGACTGTCCTGCACAAAACATGGCCAATGGCAATCAATAAATAAATCAGGCTAACAAAAAAGGATATGAAAAAACTAAACATACAATGAATAAGCTGGACCAAGTATACATATATATTTCTTCATCAAACAATTGTAGAATATATATTTTCCTCAAAGGCACCATGGTGCAGCTATAACAATTGCTCATATATTAACTAATAAAGCTACAAAAATTTCAAAGCAAAATTAATGTTCAGATCTGATGTCTGACATAATGCAAGTAGTTAATAAGAAAATGGACACATATTTAAAATTCCTGAATGTTTGGAAGCTAACTAAATAAACAATTTTAATTAATAATTTGTGAATTAATGAAGAAATTAAAATGGATAACATAATATTGAAATTTAGCTATAGTAAAAAATCTAAATATCAAAACTTGGGGACTTTGGAAAAAGCAAAAAGTCATGCAGGGAATTTACAGCTTTAAATGCTTTCATTAAAACAAAGTCTCATAATTAATGAGTTAAGTATCCCTTTTAAGAGGATATAAAAAATTATAGCAGAATAAACAAAAGGCAGCAGAAATCAATATAATAATAAAAATGAACAAAAAAAAAACCCCAAGTAATTACTACATGAACCATTGCTAGTTTTTTAAATAAATGAACAAAGTTGAAAAATTGCTGGTAAGATTGATCAAGAAAGGCACAAAAAATAAATAATATAATGAAAAATGTAACCCTAACTACATAAAAAGTAGATTAAATGAATTAAAAATATATTAATAGGAAACTATCAATAACTCAACTTTAAAGAAATTCAAAATGGGCAAATTGCTAGGAAACTAATTAATCTCACTAGATTACTAGAATGAACTATATCTTACTAGAACTAATTAATACAAGGAAACTTAAAATAATTCCATAACAAATAAAGCAGGAGTTAAAACTTTTTCCACATAAAAAGAACTAGATCCATATGACCCTGTTTATGAGTTCCACCAAAGTTTAAGGGACCTGATTATCCCACTTTTATAAAATCTCTTGCAGTGAAGAAAACTCATCCTATGGGTCCAACATAACTTTAATAACACAAAGACATTGTAAAAAAAGGGAAAATTATAGTCTTGTTTGACTCAAGATGTATAGATGAAAAAATACTACTTAAAATCTTAGCAAATTAAATCCAACAGTATAACAGAGATATTTTTGTGTAAAATAATCCTTAAAAGTAATCTATCACATTAAGAGATTAAAATGCAAACAATTAAGATCTTTATAATACTTACACAGAAAATATTTGATAAAATTCAACACCTATTTGCTATTTTTGAAAACTGTAATAAATTAGAAAGGAAAGGAATTTCTTTGACCTGGGCACAAGTATCTGTAAAACTTTAGAGTAAAAAATGTTATCATAAATGGGAAAACATTGTAAGCATTTAATTTAAAAGCATTAATTAGATTATTCCAAAATAACAAGAATGAAATTTGGCAGTTGTATGAAAGTCGGAGTATTATACAGTACGCAGCAATGCTGCAAAGCCTATGAAATAAAGTTTAAATGCAAAGATGTCTTGAAAAAAAGGATCATAATCATCTTTGTCTTCCTCCTTTTCACTGATACATCAGTGACAGTTAGGTGACATTTAGAATTTACAAAGAACTACTCAATCTGCAATCTCAGGCAAATCTCAAAAAAAAATAACAATAGAAAGAAGTGTTATTCCCATTTCACGTGGAGGTATAAATGACCAGATAGTATCTGCCTGTGTCATCCTGTCATGAGATACATTTCTCAGGTCTGTGTGTGGGACAGGGGAGGACAGTGGCGGTGGCATCCTAAAGCCCACAGGTGAAGTTCACCACAGCCAAGTTGTGTGTTCTTCCCAACTCTGCGTTCAGTGATATCATGTTGGCAGTCTGAAATCTGCCACTGTGGGAATATTTATACCATAGATCAGCAAATACTACAAATCAGTTTTGGTTTGTTTCTGTAGAGCAGCTGGTTAACACTACCACAGTAATGATTAATCCCGATTCAATGTGCCTGACTGCTCCTGCTAACTCCTTTCTTTCACTATTTTCTCCTGCCACTGAGGTTCTCTTGCATCTCCTTCAACCAACACCCCTTAATTCCCCTGAACACCATGGACAAAATCATTAGGCACAGCAGATTTTTATTAAAGGTACCAGGGTAGCAAAGAGTATCCATAGTACAGGCCAGGTGTAAATGAACAATGAGAGAGACCACAGCTACGCTTATTTATTGAGTGCCCACTATTTTCTAGGCACTGCCATTAGAGCGTCATTCTCCCTTGCTCATCTTACCTCTGCAACTAACAAGACTATCACCTCCAAATTCTTCATCTTTCTAATGCAGGGCAATTGACCTTGTAAATTCCTTCTGCCAACTTGTTTTAGGCACATTTTTTTTAAAAAAACTAAAAACTCTTTAAAGCTCTTACCAAATCAAGGGTTTTTTTAGGCATACACTTTATCAAATTTTATGCTCTGTATGTGCAGAGATAGCTGTGTAGTTGGAGGTTGGGGAGGGAATGCCACTAGAATGAGCACTTGACAAAGGTCACAGAGCCAAGACTATGTATTTTCCATGATACTAACTACGTAGTAAGCTCTAAGGTCCGGTTCCCTTATTTTATCTGAATAATAATAATAATAACAACCACTAACACTTAGCTAAGCCCTTCACACTCATTATCTCATTTAATCTTCCTAACAACTCTGGGTTAATGCCACGTTAATAATGAGGAATTCAGGTTTACAGAGGTAATTTATGCAAAACCACATAATATATAAATTGTAGAGGAGGGACTTAAATACAGGTAGTGTAACTCCAGTGCCTGCAATTCTAACACTTATATTATATTGCTTTTTGAGTTATCATAGAAAAAATAATCATGTTCATTCAAATATTCAGTAAAAGCTTAAATCTAGAGTGTATTTTTTGTCGATCCTCTATAGTCATTTGCTCTATTGATTTGCTATATATATATATATATACACACACACACACACACATATATATGTATATATTAGGGAATTAACAATTTGTATCTCCAGTCTCTGTTATTTGAATGGTAGGAAATGTGATGTGGGTAGAGAGATCAGGTGACAAATTGTCAATAATTTATTTGAAAAAAAAGGCTTTTCCCTAAAATCATGTTGTTCCCTCACTCAACCAAATAAATTCTGCTCCACTGAATAGCTGATTTCTAGGGATCTGCTTTATTGTGATGTATAGGATTCAAGGAAGCTTCTTTCAGCCTCTGCCCAGAATCTGAGTAGACTTTGACATTCCTAAGTTATGTAACTATAAATTATATAACTAATCTATGTAAATAGAATAATAAGTCTTATTTGGCTATATCTAAAATAAAGACATTTCTTCTTTAGATGAAAGTTTTAAAACGTTTAGAGTATTCTCTGATTCTACAACAGTTCGTTGCTCTCCCATGAGAGGCAATTTTGGTGACAATTCTTTCATCTCTAAAAATACCTGTAAATCTCAAAGCTATCCATATGAGAGCCCTGTTTTTTTCCTCAGGCACACCTATTATTTTAGTAACTAAACTCAGCATTCTGTAAGGGGGACAGAGGAGCCCCCCTTCTGACAGTCTGCCTGGGCCATTATGTAAAGGGAGTTTTCACTCTCTGCTCTTCCTCCGATGAATCTATTCACGGTACCAGGAGAAAAGCAGCCCTCTTGGGACTTGCATGCACGACTTGACTCAGTAAAAAGATTTTATTTACTTTCTGAAAGAAAGATATTACTCTAGGAGACCAAATATAAGTAAACTTGATATTTAGCTGGGTTCTAAATATAAACCTTAAGACTAATTGGTGTTGTCGATGTATCTCCTATTGATGACTCATGTATAAAACTAGGTTATTAGTTTTGGTTTATTCTAAAAAAAAAACCTGAAACACTTTTATGTGAAGAATCCATTTTATAATGCAAATTGCACATTATTTTGGATGTAGGGAACTACCATTATTCAATAAAGTAATATTCATTAATCTATTTAATACTCACATTTATAGGGCACCGGAAAATTAATGGGTGTGCTTATTTAATCTATTCACAGTTCCTGATGATGTGTTTGCTCAAAATTATATATGGAAAGGCTCTTACAATTTCAAAGGAAGGAAACAACCCATGACCTTGACCGTTACCAGTTTCAATGCTTCCACCGGAAGAGTCAATGCCACGCTCAGCAACAGCAACATGGAACTGCTGCTTTCAGGTATGACCCTGCAGAACTGCAATGCCTTCATACCCTCCTTTCCACCATCTCATTGTTTTTATTAGTGACTTATACCATGAAATATCTGTTACCTCTTTGATGACATTCATTATTCCTTCAGAAACAAGGCTTTCTGATTTATAGATTGATGCATGAATATTACTAAAAATATAAAACTATGTGATTCTGAAATAAGCTCCCTAGGAGTATCTTCATGTACCCAAAATGAGACATCATGAAGTAAAACAAAACTTTTAACTTGAATGTAACTAAATCTTTCTCTATTCTCATAACACCAAAGAGATCAATGATTTGCAAGCTATTTTATGGTCACAACATCATTTCTTCAAATGACAATGTTTAGGTGGACACCATAATTTAAAACAGAAGGTAGACCTGTACTGCTTTAATTAGACATCAGGGACCCAAAGTCCCATCCACCTGCTCAGCTTCTCAATTTTCTGTTACCTCTGTCTAGTGCACATTTTTCTCATTATCTTTGAAGGCTCTGGTTTTTCTGACACTCAGATGTTTTCTCAAAGGTCATCTTGTCAACAGTACTCCCAATGACTCTATCAGAAATAGCCTCCGCCTTACAGTCAAACACATTCTTAGTCTTAGATGGTCTTATCCTGTTTTATTTTCTTCTTTTCACTATTTGAAATTACAGTAGAGTAGAGGATGGTATTACATGATGTGTGTGACATGACATTATTTGTCTGTCCTCTTACAGTATAAGCTGTAGGAGGGCAACCCTTTGCCATCTGGTTCATTACTGTGTCTCCGAGGCTAAAAAAGTATCTGGAACAGAATAGGCCCTAAAGAATATTACCCAAGAAATGACTTGGAATATTGCTCTCCAATATTTTTAAATATGTTTAAAAATATGTTTAAAATATTGATATTGCAAAAATGAAATATGTATATTTTTCAACCTCTGGGCTATGCATATATCCTAAATAATTATTAATACTGAAATAATTTACAATATAAATAAAAAGGAAAATAAAGTATGTATTGATTTTATAAATTTTAGAACTATCAAGCATCATTTTGTATTATTGAATGATCCTCTATTAAATCCAAATTAAAAGTATTATTATTTTCAGTATAAGTCAGCACAGATTAAATATATACTCTAATTTAGAAAAATTTCATAACAAATTCCTACAAATATAGGAAAACATAAAGTAATTTTCTGTCACTGTCTCCATATAAATCAATTTTAACATTTTTCCAGCAACATTACTTTTTATTACTTTTATGTCTTTTCCCTATTAATTATAATTTACTTTAGGTCATGCTCTATGTATCATTATTTTTGTATCACCAGCATATTCTTATGATACCTTATTACACAGGAGAAAATTAAGTGAATGAACCGATGAGTCAAATTCCAACCATCGGTTAATCACAACATTTTTACTTAGAACTTTATTTCCTATTGTTCCCCCAAACACATTTACATTATAGTTTATTCCCATTCCTAAAATACTCAAAGTAAAAAATCATTGTATATATTTTTGCTTCTCTCTTTTATTCCATTACCTATTTTTTACCTTCTCGAACTTAAAATCCTACTTGATTTTTGAGACCCAGTTCAAATGCTCTTTTATGAATAAGCATCCTTTGATCATTCCAGTGTGAAATGATCCCTGTCTCTTCCGGCCTTTTATTTATCAGATCCTCATGTATTTTAGTTGGTTGTGTACCATATCTCCTACTTCACTGGAAATGCTTTTAAGCACCCTGTCTTTAGATTAGAGCAACATGTACTCATATTTGTGACTCTGGTAACACTTAGAATACTCTGTTTCGTAGGGTTAGAACCCAATTCATTATTAAGGAATTTTAACATTTGATTCATATTCTTAAAGATTTTAACCTGATGGGGGGAAATATTTTGTTTGCAATATCATGGACTGATGTTATTAAGAATAATAATACTTAATTTTAATGGAATAGGTAAACTATACCCTACAGCTAAGATTTAAGTTGTGAATTTTAGCTGAAAGAAAGATCAATGCATATTGCAGGATTTGTGAAAAGCATTACTGTGAAGCTGGCCTTGACTTCGCCTTATATTACTTTTCTTCCTATAATATACATTACCTGATATTTTAAGGAGTTATAGATAATAAAATGAAGTATAACTACTTGAAAAATTAGTAGACTAATGTGTCCTTACATTTTACAGGGGTATATAAAAGCCAGGAAGCTCGCCTAATGTTACACATCTATCTTATTAAAGTGCCAGCACATGCTTCCGTGAAGAAAATGAAGGAGGAAAATTGGGCCATGGATGGCTTTGTAAGTATAGTTCTTTAAAAGTCCACTGATGATTCTCATAACAAATTTGTGCTTTGGTTTGTCACTACAATTTCAGAACAAAGGTAATTTTCTAAATTTAGCTAGTTATAAACATACACACACATGCACACACACAGATATAAAATGAGAAAATTACTACTATGGGTAAATTATTTTGAGAATAATTATTCAGTGTCATATTTAGTGATCTAGAGTTTTAAACCAATGATTATTAGATTCTGGTAAGCTTTGCTCTCTTTTGTAGTACTTCTATAGATGGGGCATATAGTTTTCACTGGATTCATCAAATGTTTTGTTACAGTCAATACTATGATAAGTAAATCTGGGTAAAATATAATTCAGTCTTTGTCTGGAACCAATATTTAAGTTATAAGCAATACATTTACAAAATGCTTCAGAAAAACTAAGTATGCCCATTAAATTTAAGCAGATTTTGAATCTTTTATAAAGCTGTTTATGAAGAGGTAGTTATATGAATTGCTTCATGTGGGGAGGTAGTTACCACAGGTTTACCATGGAGTGACCCTGTCCTATTTAACTACTTGAGTGAATGAAGTTTCTAAATTGTCAGTTGAAAGCAGTAAGTCTTATATTCATATACTGGCCAGGAGTCTTTGCCAAAAAGTAAGCGTAAGAGCTCTGCTCATTCCCTATTGGGTAATAAGCCTTTTACAAGAAAAACCTAAGCGGAAAGAAGATAGCAGGACACAGGCTTCAGTAAGTTTGATTCCTGAAGGAAAAAATGTCCATCCAGTTTCCCTATTAGTGCCATTATTCATGAGGTTGGGAGCTAACTCATATCTTCAATGCACTCAGATTGCTTAATTGTACTGTTTAATGTAAGAAATAAATAAAATGAATTCACTTAATAAAAGATTAAGGTTTGAGCTATTCCTTTTAGAAGCCTTTCATTTTTAAAAACAGCCATGCCCAGAGTATGTCATCTGATGATAAGAAATAAATCACTTGTGAAATATCAGACTTCTATGGATGGTTTGGTGTGATATTTTGCTTTTCGGGTGAATATTCAAGGTTATTTATTTTTTTTTAGAACTTCTACAATAACCTACATAACTTTGGTATCTAATTAGAACAAACCTTAGGGTAGATCCACCTTAATAGTTACAAAGAACACTGAAATGTGTCAATTCCTATTATATCTCTGAGATCAAATGACACTATGCATGTAAAGCACTTTTTAAATATAGGATTTTATAGACATGCAAGGTTCACCTAATAGCATTTATAGCATCAGAAACAACCACCAAATATCAGAACCAAACAATGTGTATTTAGTTCTTTCTCATGTGCCCGCAGTTAGTTGTGGGTGGTGTCTGAAGCTGTGATAGCAACTTCAGATCTGCTCCAAGTGTCTCCTTCTGGGGCCCAGGTTGGAGAGGCGGCAACTACCTGGAGCATAGTCTCCTCTTGTCAGAAGTCAGAAGCTCTCAGAAGCAAAGTGGAAACATGCACCCCCTTTTTTAAAACAGCTCTTTTGAGATACATTTAAAGTGTACAATTTACACTTGAAGTTCACCCATTTAAAGTGTGCAATTGAGTGGTTATTAACATATTTTCAGTTGCATAAATATCACCACTATTGATTTTAGAATATTTCCCCTGACCTCCAAAGGAAATGCCATAGCCTGCAGCTCTCACCCCCTCCATTCGTCCCTCATCCCCACCCCAGCCCAAGGCAACCACAAACTATTTCCTGTCACTGTAGATTTCCATCTGGACTTTCATATTTATAGAATCATGTGATATGTGGTCTTTTTGTGACTGGTTTCTTTCATTTATGATGGGAGCATGTTTCTTAAAGCCTAGCCTTGGAACTGACCTATTATCAGTCCCCCCCACATTCCTTGGTCAAAGCAAGTTACAAGACCAAACACAACTCAATGAGACAGGAAGTAAACCCTTCCCGTAGTAAAGACTGGTTGGGGCAGGAGGAGTCCATGAATACTAAACAGAAATCTGATCTGCACGTACAGTATTACGCTATTTTAATTTAACTGACCATTTGCTTCATTCTGTTTCATCATTATCATAGACCATTTTTTGACAATAGGTTTTTTAGCTTAGACGAAATCTATATATTTAATGTCAGTATATAAATAACCAATGCTCTTTTTTCTGTCATAAGTATTTAAAAATGAAAATTTTGATTTCCACTTTAATGATGACAGATTTGCACAATATGCTGTTTTATGTAGGAAGAAGATACAGATGAAGGAGCTCTGCATAATATTCATTTCAGAGTAATGTTGAATATTAGTCTGGGTAAATATAGCTGTGCCTCTTCAGATTTAAGTGAACTTATAAATATTTTTAGGTTTCTGCTGAGCCTGATGGAGCTACTTATGTATTTCAAGGATTTATTCAGGGCAAAGATTATGGGCAATTTGGACTACAAAGACTGGGTAATGTATTCATTTGCATGTCATTCCTTTATTACTCCAGACATCACAAGAAAGTACTGTGGATTCTGGATATTAGACATACTTACTACATTTTGAATTTTGCACTGTCAGAACTATACATTGATACATTTGATAGCCTTTTAAATAATCACATTCTTCAAAATATTGATTCTCTATGTAGTAACTCTGTGCAATGTGTTTGGTTTTTTTAATCACATTTCTTATAATTATGACAAACTGTCTTGCCCTTAAGCAAGTAAAAAGGAGGAAAATGATATGGATATAAAATAAAATATTAAACTGTAAATTATTTCCTTTTATCTCACAAAAACTGTAATAACTTCTCCTCAGTTTGAATATTGTTGCAATTTTCTTACACCTCAGAAAATGTAGTGGCACTTTGAGAAACTCATAGGATCTGGAAAAGGGAAATAACTTTGAGGAATGGGACCCTTTATGGGGCTTTGTACTATTTAGATATACAGTTTTTTGTGGTGGGAAGCACAAGGTTTTGTCCTTATTTCCAACTCTTCTAAAATGTGAGTAAACACTTAATGGTCTTTCTTGAATGTATCTATTAACATAGCTTTTGATATATAATTTTCCTAAGGTATACTATCTCCCATTAGTACATTTTGGTATTGATATATAAGGAATAAATTCAGGCAGTAAAAATTGCAGTTTAACATTCATCTTAATAATTCTGTTACTTTGAACTTTTACATAAATATTCTGAGTCTCTGGAAAAATAAGATACAGAATAAGGTGTGGACATTTTTTAACCTGGACTTAGTCTCTAAATGAACAGTAATAATATGATACCATTTCAGATGCCTTGCTAAAAATTGTGTTCATTTTATAAATAGGATAAAGCATTCATTGCCATAGTACCATAGTATATAGTTGTGCAATTGAATGCAAGATGTTTTCACGTACTATTCCCCAAAGTATCTCAAACACTGCATGTCTAAAACAGGACCTATACAAAAGGAGCTATGTCTTTCTGAGAAAGAACTGTTAGTTGTTCCTTTTTCCCTGTCACTGTGCCAACACACTGACAAACCCGATTTTTCTACTCCCTAATTGTGCTAATGCCTTTGGCGTTTACTCAGCCCCAAGAGGAATGCTTCTATTCTCATGCTGCCTTCCCTTTTGTCCTCTCAAACAAGTTCTGTTGATTTTAGCAAATGCTCCCCTAAATCTATCTTTTCATGATGTTCATAGTGCTCTAATTCACATCCTAATTCCCACTGTTACCCAGGTTAAATTATATCTTGCTACAACCTTCAAACTCCTTCTTCCATTCTGAACTCCCTCAAATCCATTCCACCCTAGTCAATATTCTAAATCATGTAACTTATCAACAGGTCTTTTATTTCTAAAGGACTTCAGTTGCCTTCACTGTGGGTGGGTAATAAGTTTAGGTTCTTTAGAATAATATTTATATCCTTTCAGAGTCTAGCCAAAATCATTTCCCCACATCATTTCCACACAGATATGCCTAATGCTTGCCATATCCCCTGAATACGCCACTCACCTTCCTGTTTCTAGGCTTATGATGGTCCTGCTTCCTCCTCCATTTGTTGTTCTACTGATTCTTTAGAGGCAAGCTTGCATTGTATATCCTCCAGAAAACATCCCTACTTGCACCAAGTGGAATTACTCCTTCCCTTCCTTAAGCATATTAATCATTAATTCATGCTTGACAAATACACTTATTTGTGTCTCTGTAATTTTACCACTATTGTGTAATGCTTCAGTTCTGAGACGGCTTATTTGTTATTCTGTATTTTTTTCCTGGAAAAATAGCTTTTGCATAGTAGACACTGTGAAAAATTGTGTGGAAGTGAGTTGAAGGAGTTTCAGCAATTATTTTGTGTACTATGTTCATTTCCAATTAGTCACCTTGAGAAAGGAAGAAATTAATTTATAAAAATGAAAATCAATTTCTAAAACATAGAGTTGATTTTATATTTATAGTGTATATTTTGTTTATAGGACTGAATATGACAGAAGGTTCGAATTCTTCAAATCAACCTCATGGTACAAATAGTAGTTCTGTGGCCATTGCTATTCTTGTGCCTTTTTTTGCACTTATATTTGCAGGATTTGGATTTTATCTTTATAAACAAAGGTAAGTTTCTTGATTTTAACTACAAAATCTTTCCCAAATTTGTATTTCCCATTCTTTTTACTACTCTAGTTTAAATCTTAACTTCAATTTTTTTTCTTGATTATTGAAATCTCTGTGCCAAATATTGCCACAGTAGTTGATGCCCTCCCTGCCCCTCTACTATCCCAACAAACACACAACAAAAACTGCTCTGTTAAGTTGCACAAGCATTCATTCACTCCAACACTTCCTGCATTTGCCTGTTAGCTTCCAGGTATATAAGTAATTGAATAAGCTATTTTTACATTGTCACAATGAGACTTCAGAGATACAAAATCTAGGTTAAGGGTTAAATTAATGGTGATATCTGTTAACAAATTTATTTAGATATCTAGGAAGAAACTTGTGTCTAAATCTCTTAGTTCATATGACAATACTGACTGATCTTACCTAGGCAGATGGATGGTAAAAATCCTCTAATCTTCTTCTTCATCTTCTGTTGCTTTTAGAAGATTGTGTAGTTAGTTTGTTGTATTTGGGATATATCAAGTATATGACTATATACATTATTAGTTGGTCCTTGTTCACTGTATCTACTACAATCCTAGTTAAGGGCTTTACTATATAATTCTCCACTATTGGGACTCATCCTTCATCAAGAAAAATACATGTGCATAGGCAGTTAATTAAATGAATATTACCTAAATGCATTTTCCCCAAAACTGATGTTTTTATAATAAATGTCTGTATTATCTAATAATGATTTATTTAATATTATATAAATTTGTAATAATTTCATATTAGCAGCTGTTTAGGCTTTGTCAATATCAGACTTTATAAATGATAAAAATCACAACCAAGTTTGTTTATAAAGCAAGATAAATTAGTCTTTTTTATTATTAGAGTAAAATACACATAACATAGGAGCAATTAAATTGTTGTAGATATACAATTCAGTGGCATTTAATACATTTGCAATGTCATGGAACCATGACTGCTAGTTTCAGAGCATTTTTATCACCCCCAAAAAGGAAAATCTGTACCTATTAAACAGTCATTGCCCATTCCTCCATCCCCACCCTAGGCATCTAGTAATCTGCTTTCTGCCTGTATTGGTTTGTTTATTTTAGATGTTTCATGTAAATGGAATCATATAACATGTGATATTTGTATCTGGCTTCTTAAACTTAACATAATGTTTCCAAGTTTCATCCATATTATAGCATACATGAGTACTTCATTCCTTTACATGGTTGAATAATATTCCATTGTACGTTTAAATGTGTCTGTTTGATTATATTCATTCATTGATTGTCAGACATTTGGATTATTCCTATGTGTGAATAGTGCTATTGTGAATAGCAGTTTTTGGCGATTGTGAATAGTGCCATACATGTTTGTATACAAGTTTTTGTTCAGACGTCTGTTTCAATTCTTCTGAATATATACCCAAGAATGGACTTGATGGGTTATATGGTAATTCCACATTTAATTTACTGAAAACCATCCAACTGTTTTGCACAGCAGCTGCACCATTTCACATTCCCCCAGCAAGGTATGAGGATTCCACTTCCTCCACATTCTTACCAACACTTGTTGTTTTGTTTCTTTTTTTCTTCTATTTCTCTTCCCCGAATCCCCTCTCCCTCCCCCTTCTTTCCATCCTAATACATGATGTAGTATCTAGTTGTGGTTTTTATTTGCATCTCCCCATTTACTAATGACACTGAGCACCTAGTCATGTGTTTGATGACCATTTGTCTATTTTCTTTGAAGAAATGCCTATTCAAGTACTTTGCCCATTTTTTAATCTGGTTGTTTGTCTTACTATTATTGAATTGTAAGAATTCTTTATATATTCTGGATACTAGACTCTTAGGAGATACATGGTTTGCCAATATTTATCCATTTCTGTGGGTTGTATTTTCATTCTCTTGATAGTGTCCTTTGATGTATAAAAGTTTTTCATTTTTAATTATCTACTTTTTTTGTTGCTTATGCTTTTAGTGTCATGTCATATCTAAGAAAGCACTGCCACACTCAAGGGCATGGAGATTTTTCTCTATGTTTTCTCCTAAGGGTTTTATAGATTTATCTCTTATATTTAGAACTTTGATTCATTTCAAGTTAATTTTTGTTGATGTCATTTCAAGTTAATTTTTGCTGATGGTGTAAACTTTTCTAAACCTTGATGGCAGTATTTTCCTTAAAACTGTTACCCAATATTAGCAAAAGGAAATTCCTTTGTATCTTCACAATTCTTGCCTAATCAGAAGGAAATTATGTTGGTTCTGGTTTTTATTATGAACCTAATTTGAAAAAAGGAGAGAAATATGATCCATTAAATTTATGCATCTAGTAAGAGCAAGTTGTATGCAATATAACTATATAGGTGATGCCTTTGAACAGAACTTGATATAGCTTTTTTAAGAAGTAGATTGGCATACAAATCACCTAAGAATTTTTAGTGTAGAGAAAATTTCAGAAAATTCATAAGGGATATAGTAAAATCATATAATGCCAAATACTGAGATAAAATAAATAGCTGAAATTTGTGGTGCTTGGTTTTAAAAAAAAAAGGAGTTGAAAAACAGACTTAAGATAGATCACTTTTAGGAATTAGGTTTCAAAAACAGGTAGGGACAAGTCTGCCTTTGTACCATTAGAAAAGTCAGTGAATTATGTAGTGCAATGTCGGAAAGGAGTCTAGAAATTAACATTAGTTAAAGGTGAGAGAAATAAATGAAGCAGGAATTTAAGACCAGCAACTGAAGCCAGCTAGCCTAGATCTATGTGTTTTATGTTAACTAAAGGGCAAATGTTCAGTTTTCAGTAGCTGTTAGGAAACTATCTTGATGACTTAATATCAGTACAGTCATTTCTTCTTTGAGATTTTGAATTTATTTGCTCCAGTGTATATCATTTTTAAGCAAATTGAGTATTTGTTTCTGAGATACTCCCAGTGCCTTCCCAAATTAGCCCATGGCATTAGCTGTCTATTCCTGAAATCCCCTTTTTATTAGTGTAGAGTTGGCTCCTTCTTGCCCCTAAAATCTCACATGAAATTGTACCTCCTTAGAGATGCTTTTCCTTATTACCTCTTCCAAAATGGTCCCCACTTCCTGTCATATCAACCGCTTTCCTTTTCATCAAAACACTTTTCATTACCAATATTTCTGTTTTATTTATTTTTAATTCATCCATTATTTTCTATCACTACAATATGTGCTCCATGAGATTAATGACATTACATGCTTTTTTAAAAAAATTATACATCCAATGCCTAGGATCATGCCTGGTGCATAATAGATGCTCAGTAAATATTTGATGAATGTATGAATGAATGAACAGTAATAAAATTTAAATTCATCATGATCCTAATTTACTTGTACTATAAATGTTAATTCATAATGATTATTTCATGAGAAAATGTATGAGAAAAGTATCATTTATTTATACTTCATTATTCATATTAGTGCTATACATAAATATGTATTACATATGGATTAAAAATGTCACTTGGGTTTTAAAAGTGACAAGTAAATTGTTCAAAATTGATGCATTGAGTTTATGGTTTTTCACTTAATATTTTCAAGTTATATAACCCATTACAATGCTAACTCAGGTATATTGTTTGAGTCTTACTCTGCTCAAACTGTTTCTAGAAAAAAGTTAACACATAGCTAATCAATGTTCTCATCAACAGGACTGCACCCAAAACACAGTACACAGGATGTTCAGTTCATGAAAATAACAATGGTCAAGCAGCTTTTGAAAACCCCATGTACGACACCAATACGAAGTCAGCGGAAGGAAAGGCAGTACGATTCGATCCCAACTTGAACACAGTCTGCACAATGGTATAACGTGGCAACCCCTTGCCTTCTTCAGAAGCTTGGAAATCGACACAAAACAGTGCACATTTAGTTCACTGATAAACAAATTAAAGCACACTTTTCAGGACTTGCTGGGTCACCTTTTCCTGAGGAATGATAAAGAGCGTTTTTTCATAAACTGGACCATAATTCTTCTTCATGTTTACCATGGAGAGTTTTACAGAAATTTGGCTGCACTCTAAGAGTGCTTACTCACAGTTTATTTGCTTTTTTTAAAAAGGAGATTATTCTAAAACATAAACTTATTTGCATATATTGGAGGAGCATCCACTATCAGTATTTCTGTGCTTTATAAACTATATTAGAGGGACTGGGTTTAAAAAAAAAGATATAGGGTAGAAAATAAAAGCTATACTTACAAGAGTCAATAGATCACTGACTTCTCTTTAACTGTTCTGAGCTGCACCACACCCACAAGTTTGTATTTCACACGACTCTTATAGGCTCCTTATTCTTGTTGAGTCATTGTTTTCCTTACTCCATGGTTTTTCAGGTTGAGCCATGCTCTGAGTGTTTATGAGCTAATTTATGCCACAGAAGAGATAAGATTGCCTGCTCTGATTTGACTCTTTCTGGGTTTTGCTCTTCAGTATCATATCACTATTCTTTTTTTATACTGGTTGTCATAGGTTCTGCAAATGGTAAGATCATCATGTTATCCTCCCAATTTTCCTCATTATGTTGTAACTAATATTATTCAGTAAGCCATACAGTAGTGTTTGACTTCTTACTGCAATCTGTTTTGTCACCCAGAAACCAATTTAGCTGGCAAAAATTATCTATAACTGATGATTTTGCAATTGCCTGAGACACCAAGCTTCCATCCTTTACCAAACTTCCCAATGTTTTTGAAAGACCAAATAGACTCTACTCTAGTTTATGATACATCAGTTTTTCCTTTTAGTCAAGCCTTCAAGTTTACTTAACATTGTTTTGAACTTTAATGGAACAATGAGTTAGATATGTATTTGGGCCCTCCACAAACATAATGACTAAAAGAAATGGACTCTTTCAAATCACCAATGTGAATTTGTTTCCTATAGTTGTAGATTAACCAAATTTTCATATATTTTAAAATCTCTACACGTTATTCTGAAGCAGGTTTCAGATATGATTGGTTTCTTTCATTGTCAAATTAAGATAGAGATTTGCAGGTTATTGGTGTCTCATTTACAACTGTATCATGGTAACGCCAACATTTTGATTGAAGAGGCCATTGTTTTTCTTTTATAGCATGCTTTATTTCATTGAATAAATTACATGCCCAGTGTGAACTCTTTGTTCTTGTCCCTTTCAAATATGGATAACTCTGTAAACAGTCTCCACTTTTTGTGTCATGAGACAGAGTGCCTAAGAGAAATCATTACACCCAGGAGCTGCTTGGAGCTATCTCTACAACATTTATTGAATTTCTTGTAAACCACTTTGAGATACATTTTTTTGGAAATTCATACAATTTTCTCAACATTGTACTCTACTGACACGATGCTGTTTTAAATTTTATGCCATCAATTATTTATTCTAGTTTTTTCAGATGACTGCAATAACAATGATTCATTCATTAATGTTAAGGTTAATACATTTAAGATCTTGTTTAAACAATGTTTCTTCTGCAACTGGCTACTCCTCTTATATTAATGCATACACTTTTGTAAAGAAGTATATTTTTATGAAAAAAAAACTTTGTAAAAGTATGATGTAAATTTTCAGTGCAATGTAAACAAAATAAAAATAGATAATTGCTTTTGTAAAATGTGTATTCTTTTCAAAATTGCCTGCCCACTTATTCTGGGTAGTAGAAAGGAATGAATGGCCCACATTTATTTGGTGTTTAAAAGTTCCAGAACTGCATATTATTTATATTTAGTTAATAACATAATAATGAAATATAGGTATTTGTCTTGTTTATATTCTATAGTTCCCTGTGACACTCTTTTCCAAAGTAAATGAATTTCCAGTAAACATAGTACTACCATAAGAACCCTTCTCTTAGAATTTTTCTTAAATGTCAATATTTTAATAATACTACCTAAATTTAGATGTACCTGCTGGTTTCTAATATTCTATAGTATATTTTCTAAGAGATATTTATGTTTAACATGCTTCATAGGTATGAACTCAATAATCATTAAATAGCTACACTAAATTACTACTCAAAACAAGTTTACCTTGACAGAATGGATCACATAAAGATTTTTTACCCAAGAAAGTTACCAACTTTTGACAAAGTTCAAATCACAAAGTAATTTAAGTTCAATTTTACTAGAGAACTCTTTTTCAGAAAATATATTGTCTCTATATTTGAAAACCTCAGACTATAACCTTTGTAGTCTATCTCTGTTTATTACACTTTCATTTGAGAAATAAATACTTCTTAATGTAATTGTAGTTTCTTTTTTAACTTGGCTAACTGCACTCCCTCCATGTTTTACTCATTTCATGTCTTCTGTATTTTGCTGTTGTTCTTTGCCTTTATTTTTATTCATTTCTGTATTCTTTTTATTCTTTTTTCTTTTTCTCCTTTTTAATTTGCTTTTTCTCTTCTGATGATTTTCTTAATATTATTTCCTGTTTTACGTGTCTTCTCCTTTTTAGCCTTTTATTATTTCTCAACTTTTTCTATGCTCTTGCTCCTTAACCCTCTCAAAAGTTAGCAGCAATTTTAGTGGGAGTAAATTTATTTTCATTCTTCACAGCTTTGTTTTTAACTAACAAACTTACACGGTATTTGAAGTAGAAAATGTGATGACTTGATAAATGTATACTTTCTGTTGTTGAGAACATTAAGTTCTACTCTCTTAGCAGATTTCAATTAAGGAAGTAATTTTAAAGAGCCTTTTCTACTTCCCTTATATTTAAAAACATTGAAGCCATAGGTTCCACCCAGGATCTCCTGATGCTGGAAAGTGATGATAATGATTGTGGAAACAGACCAAAGCGTCAGATTAATTTCACCTGTCCTTTTCACTTATACATGAGAAAAAGAAAGGACATAACACTGAAGAGTCAATAGAAATAACTAGATTATATTTTCTTAAAGTGAATAAGAGTATGCATTGCCTATCATCTGTGAATATCTATAAATTTAAAATAGGCATAGTTAAAGTAAGATAAAAAAATCTTTTCTATAGAATTATAGAAGTTTTTGAGTCTAAGAAATAATGTAGACTGGGTAGTTTGAAATTTGGGTGAAAAATATTGATCTGCTCTTTTTTTTAAGGATGACTTTGGAGGAAAGGGAATATTGATCTGAGAAGATACACGTGTAAAAATCTGATAAATATATCTTTTTGTCATCACTGTTATGAGCTTGGTATTCTAAAGTAATTTAAGAGCAGATTTAAGTTTCATTCAAAGGTAGAAATAGCCATTTGGTATTAAAATTTATTCTTCAGTTTACAAAGCATGGAACTTGTCAACATCTGCCAAATACTTCCCCAACTTTTAAGAAGTTCCCATGTGCAATAATTTATTAGCTTTGAAAAAGAAGCATATTCTATCAAATTCGTAGCTATAAATTGTATTACAAAATACAAAACAAGAAATCTGTATTTAAACTCTCATAAGATCGAAACCTAGCTTGTAACCATAAGCACACCAGTGAAAATAAGGAGGGACCCATGTCCTTTTGCAGGACCAATGAGATATGCACATGTAGAGAAAAATATAGAACCATCTACATCTATTTGGTATGAATTAAAAGGAACCAAAAGGCCCTCCTTTTCAGCAAGTATCTTTTTCACATCCTTCAGTGAAGATTTTTGTATCTCCTGAAGGAACTTATTAGAATGAAATATGTTATCTGGAGAATATTATATGATAGCATTGTGATCCGAAGAAGCACATTAACAGAATCATGACAGAACAAGTCAGAAGAACAGCATTCTTAATCTTTCAGCTTTTAAACCAGGATTTTTTCCAGTCTATGGCACGGTTTTTACAATGGTGTTTTCAAATGCATAAAACAAAATACAAAGGAACTTAATTATAGTAAAATAGTTATAAAATATTTTAATAATCTAATATATATAAAAAGTTTACCTCAATACTAATACATATATACATATGTACTTCTCTACTGATGCATTAAATAAGGGAGCTACTAATTTCTGTAATTTTAAAGAGTATCATAAGCAATATTTTCAGATATTCATAACATTTAACATGTCAAGAAAATATCTGATTTTTATTGGTGACAAAAATCAGAGATTATTTTTGCTCAAGTTTTTACTGAAGGAAATACTATATTCTAATTAAAATATCAGTGAATGTAAAGTGTAACTTTTTCCCATCCAAGTTTACAAACTGTGAATTCTATTTGCATACCAAGTTAAGAACCTTGTCTTAGAGGTTGGAAATACAGCAACTACATTGTGGTGGTGCACACAATGTCCCAGCTGATTGTTCTAAGGCATCTTTTGGATATCAGGGGCTATTTTACTCTTTCTCAGATGTAGTCTACTTTGGACTATATACTAATATGAGTTGCACCAAAACTGAAGCTCATAAAAGAATGCAGCTTCTTTATTTCTTCCTTTAGTTTTAATGTGGGAATATGTTAGCTCGGTTTCTGGATACTTCAGCAATATTATCAATTGAAATGCTTTAATAAAAGATTATTGTCATAGGGGATCATTTATTATCTTACTGTACAGATTATTACTCCATTTATTAAAATTTATGATAATATATTTTAAATAAATTATGGATATATGTTGATAAATCCCAAATAAATATTTAGGAAAGATTTAAGTGGTGGTTGAAATTTCTAGGTAATGAATACATGGATGTATATACTGTATTTAAGTGGATTTTTGTTTATGTTATTAGTAATCCCGAGGGAACAACTTCTTGCCTATTTAAAATGTTTTAAAACAATTATTTACATTCATCTAAAATTCAGCGTAACAAAACTAGACAGTTTCCAATTTTGTGGCATCTATCACAGTGCTTTGCACCCCACCTGTTAGGCACTCATGCCAGTAATGTGAGTGTCATTCATAGCAATTCTTTCACCTTTGTTTCCCATACCCAGTGTATGAAATGTAATGTCAATCTTGCCTACTAAATATTTCTTGGATTCATTCATTCTTCCCTATCCCATTGCCAATATCCTAGTCCAAGTAACATCGTCATCTTTCTCTTACACTACTCAGTGCAGTAGCCTGTTAAGAGCACTCTCCGTATCTAGTCCTGGTTTTTCTTCCCCCATGCGTTCTATATAAAGTAGCCATAGTGAGGTTTCAGATTGTAAAGTCTTGTCTTGTGGTAAGCAATATAATAGAGTCTGTCCAAAATGCTAATGAAGCACGGAGGAGGAAGTGATTAACCTTGTTGGATGGAGTTGGTTATGAAATATTTTAGCTGTTTCTTAAGGAAGAGTAGCAGTCCAGTAGGTAGACAGATGGCGAGGGAACTGGGTAGCGAAGGGAAGATTGCAGGCAGAACAGCAGCACACAGATACAATGTGCAGAGATACAGGTATGCTAGAATAAACCTAGTTGTTTAGAAACCCTGAAAGCTAAGGTACATTTGGAGGAAACATAAAAAAATGAAACAAGTAACTCTAGAAGTACAAGATTAGGAAAATCCCTGTGAGTATGCTATAGAGGTTCATCTCTGTATTAAATTGGGATCCAATGAAGATTTTAAAGATTTACTAACAATATTAAATTTTTGTTTAAGGAAAATACTCATTCTGGAGGCAGAGAAAGACAACATTAAGAGAGATGAATTTAGAGTAGAAAGTCTGTTTGGAAAGACATTACTGTATTCTAATGAGGTCTGTCAGGAACCTGGCGTAAACCAGTTGACTTGGAGACAAGGTATGCCTGGGAGTCTTATAGAAGAGATGGACTTGGAGAAATGTGATAAGAGCTGAGTGTGCAAGAAGATAGAGAATGACAATGGATTAGAAAGTATGTAAATGGCTTTCCAATTTTCTGGGTTGGAGAGTGGATGGAAAATGGTAACACTGACCAAGATAAAGTAGAGAAATACACGCAAGTTGATCAACATAAAAGAAGCTATCTTAATCCCAATTTGAAATTTATTAAGTTCTTAGCATTAATTCACACCTCAAATAGCTACAAATATGGATCCTCCTAAAGCATAGGAATTGGGAGAGCAATTTTATTTAAAATTCATATATATGCATGTAGATAAAATATTGTCGAAGCTAAATGTGGAGGTGGGGTTGTCTGTAAGAACAGAAAATATGGGAAGAAGCTGGTTAAAACAGGCAGAACACTACAGACAACTTCTATTAAGGAGCACCTACTCTGGAATGATTTCACACTGTTACATGTTTGCACTTTTTATTCTGTTTTCCCTTGGTATTTTTTAACTTTTTTTTTTTTTACTTTTGAGGTTTTATTTTTGTTGTTATTTTAACACAAACCTATTTCAGCTCTACTCAGGGAAAAAGGGAAAGCCCACTTTTTGCAACAGAACATTAAAAGCCATGTGGATCTAATGCCGCAGGAGCCTGAAGTTTTGTGGAAACTAGAATTTAAGTTAGGAGAATTCTAAATTTAAAATTCAATGGTAGAAGTTAGGGGCATTTCATCAGTTTTTTTTTTTCTCCTGATAGATTCTTCTACTAAGGCAAAGTATATTCACAAGTAAGCAGATTCACTTTAAATTATTGCCCTACTTTTATCAGGTAAGTTCTTAAAGGTGATTAACGATTTTCTTCACAAAAAAAT